TCTGGGAATTGAAGTTCACAAGTTTTAAAGCTGTCAAGTTTGAAGACCCCTAGTTATAGAGGTGCATCCAATTCACTGCTTATAGTTGGGTTGGGTGGCTGCTGAAAAGCATGCAGCCTGGTCTTTTTGTTTCCTTTTTAACTTCTTTACTGTCTCTTTTGAATGGTGTATATATGTGATTTATCTATATGTGACTATTGATGGCTGATTTGTCTGAATGAAAAAAAAGTGAAAAAATGATTTGTTTGATGAATCCAGGAATCCCCTACATGTTCAATTTCCCTGCATTCTAAGCTAAGGAGGAAACAAAAAGACAGAGTGCACTTTCTCCAACAGCCAGATAAGCAGACATTAATACCAGACAAATAATCAAGCAGAAAATAATACCTTAATCAAGGCAGTTCCAAAGAGAAAACAGCACTCCTACCAACGGTAGCAGGGCATGTCTCTCTCTCTCTCTCTCTCTCTCTCTCTCTCTCTCTCTCTCTCTCTCTGTGTGTGTGTGTGTGTGTGTGTGTGTGTGATAGATAATGTCGCACATAAGTTGAATCCTATTGTAACAGAAGAAAAGAAAAAATTTAGACTAACAGTTGTTTCCTAAACTGACTGGAGATTTAATTTAGATTGTTTTGATATGTATATTCTAGAGTAACTCCAAGAAACAGAACTGATGGGTTTTGTGTCCCATTCATAGAAGGAAGCACTCTGTACAAATTTAGATTTAATCAAATAGGTCAGTGCTTAAAAGCAGACATCTTGTTGATTCTGAAAGTATCTTTTCTATAGCAATATATCAAAGTTTGATTTCATGCAACAAAATATTAATAACAATAACAGGAATAACAAGAATCACTGATATGAACTAAATATAAACAAAAGGTTCTGCAGATTATATAAAATATTTTTTAAATCTCCAAAGATTAACTTCTTAAAAAATGAAAAATAAAAATTCAAGAGAAATAGTGAAATTGTTTAAAAATTTCAAAACATTACAATTTTTATAAAGAGATTAATTAATGAGCATATCACACTTATCAATGTTCTCTATAAATTATTCATGCTATACTAAAGATTAAGAATCAACACTCAGTTCAAAAGCGAATTAACACAGCAAAGATCTAAAAGTCTTAATGATACTAAAAAGTTTATAAACTTATAACCATTTATTTAATGGTGGTTCAAAGTTACATCCTTGGAAAAATTGAGTTATGACTCCTCCTCAAAGTTATAACCATCATTCAACCCCATAGTCAGCTACTGCAATTCAGACACTTGGTAACTGGTTTGCATTTACAACAGTTGCCGTGTCTTCTAGTCACAAGAGTGTGATGCGCGATCTTTCCAGCCAGCTTCCAAAAAGGAAAGTCAACTGGGGAAGACTGATTCACTCAACTGTAGTAAAAATGGTTGCAAAATTGGGGCTGGCCACATGATGACTTATTTAACAACTGTACTACTTGGCGACCACAATAGAAGTCCTGTATTTTTCCAATTGCAATGTAAATGCAGATACAATGCATTAGTACTAAAATTTCTGTTTTTATTTTCATAAAATATCCAATTGACCATTAATTTAGGCTATCCTAGATATTCACTGACTAGCTTCTCAAATAATAGGGAAAACTTAGAGTGCTTTCAAGAACCAATGTATTTTTTGAGGTAGCCTATAAGTTGACTGGGAAATGGAAGCTCTTTGATAGTGTGCTGAAAGCATAAGAATTTTTGTTTTCCAAGACTCTGAAGCACTGAGTGAGTTCAGAAAAATCCAATCTTTATCCAAGCTCAGGCCAATGGCCTTTGGATTCCAAGGAATCATATACATTTTTATAAATGTCACAATTAAAATCTTAAACTAAATCTAAAAACACACATTACAGGTAGACCTCAACTCGCAAGCAAAGTCAATGGAGACACCAGAGGCACTCAATAACCATATTACTAACTTAAAAACTGCAGGGCTTCACTTAACAATTGTGGCGAAAAGGTTGAGGCAAAAGTCACTTAACAACTGTCTTGCTTAGCAATAAAAATTTTAGACTCAATTGTTGTCATAAGATACCTATAGTAGCCAATGCTAGTTATAAGCATGATTTTCACCTATAGGCAATAATGTTTATCTATTGAATTTTGAACAAACCAGTTTCTAGATATTTTTCAAAGTAACCTTAGTAAAGAATGCAAATTTAAAAAGTTATGTGGACAAAACAAGAATAATTATTGCCAAATCAATCAGGTTGAGTATAGACACAACCAATATACTAACCCTAGCCATGCAAATGCACTGTTTGCAATACCACTATGTATACATCCAGGAGCAATTTAATAACAAGCAATGGTCTCAAGATGCAAACCTGATTATTTAAGCAAAAATGTATATTCTTCCTACAGAGATTAAATGATAATATCTAAGTAAATTGAAACCGGGAAACATTGTCAGGCTTCCACTGTTCACTTGAGGTTAAATAAAGAATGCCTTAAGATAGTGATGGTATATCACTTCAAAATTTTGAATGAGAATATTGTTATTAGTAACATAGGTGAAAAAATACATTATATCATGTGTTAGATTTCCCCAACATGAAGCTCTCAGAATGTGTTAAACCAGGGATCTTCATCCTTTCCAGCTTTGTGGTCTGGCGGGGCGGGGGGCGGAGAGAAGGGATGGCTCCGCACAAGCAATGGGTGCCTGCACTTGTGCATGCAACTTCATTTACACAAGTGGCGGATGCCCCCTCCCCCTCAAATAAATGGAGCTGCGTGCACTCGCCTGTCACTTGTGTGGCCTGGTTCTGAACAGGCTATGGCCTGGTACTGGATCATGGCCCAGGTTTGGGGACCCCAGGTTAAATTATAACATGCATAATCCACATACACATGACCAATAGCAATGCTGGAAATGAATAATGGAAAATGTAGTGCAACACATCTTGAGTTTTTAAAATTGAGGGAATTTGTTATAAACAAGCACTGAAGCATAGTCTTCCAATGCTACCTTTTGGACATAAGATAGAACTAGGATATCACATCTAAATCACCTGCAAAATTTTCTTAGAATAGTATCACAATAAATGATAATAAAGGCTGTTGAGAGGTCACAAGTTACCAACAATCCTATGTTATCAACCTGCGTAATCAGACTAAGTTCAGTTCCATATCAATAACCCATATTCTAGACAACCATTATATTACTATGGCTTAGATAGAAGGAATCATAAAAATATGTTTAGGATTATAACCTTATTCCCTAATGTTCACTTCTGTTAAAAGTAATAACATAAAAAGGACAAGAATTTGAACCAGCAACAGATCTTTTTGATAGTCCTGACTTTTCATGGTTAATTGCCTTTGGAACATATTCCTTTTCACTGGTCTAAATCACTTTAGCAGTGCTGTTAAGGCTTTTAGGGATGATGATGGTGGTGGTGTGTGTGTGTGTATCAATAAATTAAATGGCCAAAGATAAAAAAAATGTTGAATATAAGTAAAAGAAGAGACTTAAAAATAAGCTAAAGGATTAACTAAATGTATCACAAACTCTCCAGAAAGCAATAAATTAGCCAGCAGGTATTACCAGTATTAAGCTTACAGTCCTCTTATGACAATTACAAATGAAATTGTCAAATTTTGATAGAGATGTTTCTATACACCAATCCAATAGCAAGAATAAAGTATTCTCCTGTGCTATCTGACCCAAATAGTTAATTAATAAAAGAGTCTATCAGTTCAGATTGAAAGGATTGATATAAAAGGCACCACATCTGAACATGTACAGTATTACTACCTCAATCATCTTCCCAATTCAACACCTGAATTGTATACCACCTTCTATTTTGTATGTAGAATTTAAAGGAATAAACAGCTGAATTAATCAAGGTCAAAGATAAAAAGAACAGGAGCAAAACTAAAGAAGCTAGAGAATAGTAATGTAAAAAGAATACATTATTAAGGAGAGAAGGGAAAGGGGAAAAACGCTTTTGTGGATGTCAGGGAAATGTTTGATATTGATCTGGCTGGGTAAATTTAGCCCAGTCACTCTATCTCAGCCTAACCCACTTCACAGGGTTGTGGTGAGGAAAATAGGGGGTAGGAGTATTAAATATGTTCACCACCATGTATAAAAGTAGGGAAAATACTATCTTAAATGACAAAATGTCCCTCACACCCCAGAATATTCTGAAAGGGGGAGGGGGAACCCTGACATGTACTAACCGAATGTTTTAAAAAGTCATTTCGACTGTATTATGGACTACAGATTATACCTCTCTCCCTTTCTATCTGCTCGAATAACAGGAAATGCGCTTTAAAGGAGCAAAGTATATTCCTTTTTGCAGCCTTACGAGAACACTCGTTTCCGAGGCTCAGAAACAGGAATTATCATGGGCTGCAAAAAGGAAACACGACCCGGGAGCTCAGCCTCCAAGAGTCCAAGTCGCCAATAACTACTCGGGGGGGGGGGGGGGGAAATGTGTTTTGTGAGGGAGGAAGAGAAAGAGAGCGCTTCGATCCCTCGGCACCGGTTGGCGAAATTTTGGACAGAGGCAACAGACCTCAGGCACCGAGCCCCCACCACTGGCTGCGGCAACTGGAGCTGGCGGGAGGCACAGAAAGGGAAGGGAAGAGGTGGGCAACACGGCCGCTTCCTCCCGTGCGCTGCAATAAGCAGCAGCAGCGGCGGCCTGAATCTGGCGGGGAGCCCCACACCACCTCAGGCAGCGCTCAGTACCCTCCCCTTTCCTGCGCTACCGTTAGACTCCTCTCCCCCCCCCCCCCGCCCCCCGGGGGGGCCCCCCCCCCCAAATCCCGCCCCCCCCCCCCCCCAAACCCCCCCCCCCCCAGTCTCAGCTGCCCGCCGTTCTCTCCCCCTCTCCCGCCGTTCCTTCCCCCAAAGGCAGGCCGGGCGGGGAAGCGCGTCCCTCTCTCTTCCCGGGCGCGCCGCCCCTCCCTGGCCAACCCGGAGACGACGAAGCCGCTTTTTCCCAACCGCACGGCGCGACCCTTACCAATGCCGGGGGCCACATAGACGAAGTAGAGGAACGAGGAAGAGAGCGAGAAAAAGAAGAGCGCGGCCAGCAACGATCGCCGGGGAAGCCGCCAGGGCCTCCAAGGGCTCCGCTTCCACCGCATGGTCCGCCCCCTCCTCGCCTCGCTTCCAGGCGAGCCGACTGAGGCGAGGAAAAAGAGGAGGGAGGCGGACGGCGGCGCTAACTGAGGGGACGGCTGACTAGGGAGCGGCGGCGGCGGCGAAGATGTAGCAGCGGGGAGTCCTTTCCTCCTTGCCTCACTTGCTCCCTCGGTGCTTTCGCACGGCTCCCCTCCTTCGGCGACGGCGCTGCATGAGTAAAGAGTCGGCCAGCAGCGCCGCCCGACGAGCCCCTCCGGTCCTTTATAACCTCCTGGCCGCTCCCGAGGCTCGAAGCACCGGCAAACGGAGGGGGAGGAGCCGGCGAGGGCGGAGAAAGCGGGCCTTCAGGGACTCTCTGCAAAATCCGCTTTTTCGGAGCGTCAAAAGCGGACCTGGTCTTGACGCGCTCCCTCGGTCTCGGCCGGCCACCACTCAGGGACCGTCCGCAAACTCCCCTTTTCGTTCTTCCTGGTCTCGCGGGCAGCCTGGGAGGGGTGGCCTTGGCCAGTGAGGTCATCGATCTCGCTCTGCTTTGGCGAGTTTCGGAGGCCGTTTTCGCCCGACCTTGTCCTTCAATGGCTTAAGATTTAGTCACTTAAAGACTACTAGTCGCTTTCCAGACTAATACATTGTAATAAACAGCATGAGATTCTGCGAGATAACAGCTTATTTCATCACATGTAAATGGAGTGTCTTTTGCTTGCCACGGGCTAACAAAGCTCTCCTATAATGACTTCACTTAATTATCTGAACCATGCATTAGAAATGTCTGTCAAATATAGATTATGTCCACACAGTTAAGTCACTATTTTAAAATAGTGAACAGCGTTAAAATAGTGAATAGCAAAATGATCTTGGTTAATATCATGCCATACAATTTATACAATTGTAGGCAAATCAGTTTGTTGTGTGAAAAGTCCTTTAGAATAGCCTTTATATGTTCTGTATCCTCTCCCTATGCATTTCCATCATTTTCCTAATCAGCATGGTCTATAATGATTAAAGTTACACAATTGGGAAGCCTCATACACTTCTAAAATTAATACATACTCGAGCCATGCTTACAAAGATGATGTGATTGTAGAGTCTAACACACTGTAGGGCACCTGGTTGGAGTGGTAGAAACTGGCTGGGGCAAAATGAGACTTTTATTGGCATACTCTTATGCTCCTGAGCCTTTGTAGAATGACTGAAGACATTTCAGAAGTTATCACTAGCTCATAGCATTGATTCTATTGATCCAATTATTTGAAATCATTTAACTTCTAAAAGCAAAAAGTACAATACGTATTTTATCAATTCCAACTGGTGGCCATGGAAAACACCCTATGGCAAGGTTTGGATCTACTAATCAACCACCACAAAAGGCTAAGCAAAGGACAAGCAAAAGATCTACAGGGAAAATGTGGAAGGCTGAAAAATTCAGAGTTGTACCTTCTTTATCAAGGAGAAACTACATGCCTACATTAGAAGGAAAAAAGGGTAAATTAAAGGAGACACAGGGCAGCATCAACTTATAGAAGCACTTATAGAATAAAATATAATATATATATAGAAATATGTAGAGCAAAACACAAATTCTATGGACTGCCCCAGATCAAATTCTATTTTCTCTCCTACAAGTACAAATGTACTTTAAAGAAAACCATTTCATGGAAGAACTTGGGGAAATCAACTACCACATCAGCAACCTGTGTGAAACTAGAGCATCAACTGAAGCACACAAAAAATGGGGGAAAAAAATAATAGTGATGAAATGCACATATTCACAGATGAAAAACTCACATATTGGTGAGTCATCTTCATAGTTGCTAGCCAACACACTCTAAATGTATTCATTGCAAACAATCTTCCATATTTTGCAAACAACCTGAAAATAAAGGGGAGAAATAAACCTTAGCTCACTGCCCAATACTATGTTCCACACTACAGTCATTAAAACAATGAATTGGGATACTTTTACAAAGAACTTGAATAATAAATAGCTCAGCTAGCCTACAAAAATACCATAAAAGATCTGTGCTTGAATAAGTTCAAGATGAATGTGTTAAAATTTTGTGGGCAAATGCTTAGATTAGATATTGAACAATTGGCAACCATTGTTGAATCATAAAAGATGTGATGAACAACTATTTTGGGAAACCAGCATTATATTGGCATCCTTCAATCTCAAAAGACTGGTATCATGCTCTGAAAAGAGGTCCTAAAACAGCTTCTAGTGTGGCTAGAAAGGCCAATTTGAGAGTGGCAATCACTTCTACACTGAGGACAGACACAATCTGTCCCCTGTCCAGCCCCCAGATTTCGCTGGTTCCGCTGTGCCTCTTTGCCTCAGCCTGCTGAATGAGTGTCTCTTCAAATTACAGAAGGCCATACTGCGTCTTTAGCCTCCAAGATGAATGACCAGAGGTCAAGGTTTCCCAGCTGTTAATGTCCATTCCATATTTAGATCCCTCTTGCAGATATCCTTATATCGCAGCTGTGATCTCTAGGGCACTTTTCCTGAACTAATTCTCCATACAGGAGGTCTTTCGGAATCCGCCCATCAGCCATCCTCACGACATGCCCAAGCCAGCGTAGACATCGCTGTTTCAATAGTGTATCTATGCTAGAAATTCCAGCATGTTCCAAGACTGCACTATCTGGAACTTTGTTGTGTCGGGTGATGCCAAGAATACGTTAGAGACAGCACATATGAAAGGTGTTCAACTTTCTCTCCTACGTGTGTAAAGGGTCCAAGACTCATTGCAGCACAAGAGTGTGCTCAAGACACAGGCTCTATAGACCTGAATCTTTGTATGTTCCATCAGCTTCTTATTAAGCCATATTCTCTTCGTAAGTCTGGAAAATGTGGTGACCACTTTACCTAAATGTCTATTCAGCTCAGTGTCTAAAGAGAGAGTGTTGGAGATAGTTGAGTCTAGGTACACAAAGTCATGGTCCACCTCCAGTTCTTGTGCAGAGATTTTAATACAGGGAGGTGAATCCATATCCTGACCTGTGACTTGTGTTTTTTTTCAGGCTGATTGTTAGTCCAAAATCTTGGCAGGCTTGTTAAAATGATCCATAAGTTGTTGAAGGTCTTCAGCAGAGTGAGCAGTGTCAGCAGCATCGTCAGTGAAGAGGAAATCCCGCAAGCATGTCAGCTATACTTTGGACTTGCTCTCAATCTAGAGAGATTAAAGAGTTTTCTGTCTGATCTGGTCCAGAGATAAATACCCTCTGTTGCAGTTCCAAAAGCATATTTCAGCATGACAGCAAAAAAGATCCAAATAAAGTTGGTGCAAGGACACAGCCCTGCTTTACTTCACTTCGGATGTCAAAGGAAACTGATGTTAAACCATCAAAAACTACCGTGCCCTTCATTTCCTCATGAAAGGACCTGATGATGTTGAGGAGCTGAGATGGATATCCAGTCTTGGGGAGGATTTTATAAAGCCATCCCTACTAACCAAGTCAAAGGCTTTCGTAAGATCTATGAAGGCTACAAAAAGTGGCTGTCTTTGTTCCCTGTACTTCTGCAACTGTCTAAGGGAAAATACCATGACAGTAGTGGACCTGTTGGCTCGGAATCCGCACTGTGATTCTGGATAGATTCTCTCTGCAAGCACTTGGAGCCTCTTCAGCACGACACGGGCTAGCAGCTTCCCTTACAACACTAAGAAGAGAGATGCTGTGGTAGTTGTTACAGTCACCCCTGTCGCCTTTGTTCTTATAAGCGTGACAATATTTGCATCCTTCATGTCCTGTGGTACTCCATCTTCCCTCCAACAAAGACAGAAGATTTCATGCAGTTCAGTGGAGGTGATCTCTGTGCAGCATTCAAAACTTCAGCAGGGATGTTATCTTTCCTGGGTGCCTTGCCAGAGACCTCAACCGTAGGGGGGGGCAGATTTCTTCTGCATTGGACCTAAGGCCTGCTTGATGCCATCATACATCCCCTTGATGTTGCCTGTGTCAGCTGCTATCTGGATCCGAGAGCAAAGCTGCAGCCAGTAATCATTAGCACATCTCCTGGTGGTTTGTCAGGCCTTACTACGAGTACCACACAAAACCTATAGATTACACTGACTGGAACAGGCTTTATATGCAATTAAAGCTTTCCTCTTTTCCTCGTTGGCTGGTGCCATCTCCTCCAAGTGGGCTTCAAATCAATCTGCTGCCTTTCTGGTCTCTTTACCAAATATTAACAAGGTGGTGTTATAAATAGCATTCTTGAAATGTTCCTATCGTTCAGATGCATTTATTTCAGCTGGGCCTGGGACAGTTTCCTTGAGTGCTTGAGCAAGTTCCTTTGCTCTGTCCTGACTGTGGGTTTTGATAATGTCCATTCATGGTCTTCCTTCCTTCTTCAAGTGATGCAATCTCTTTGTTAGCAGTTTTATTCTGCTGTACACCAAGGAGTGGTTTGTTTCACAATCAGTGCCCTGATAGCTGCATGATTGTAATACTGGGAAGGCTGGGGCGCCTGGTTAGAATCAAGTCGAGCTGATACCAATGCTTTGATCTTGGATGTCTCCAGGAGACTCTGTGTTGAGGCCTTGTATTAAAGAATGTATTGCTAATGCAAAAACCATAGTAGCAGCAAAACTCCAGTAGGCATTGTCCATTTTCGTTCATCTTGCCAATGCCGAACTGACCTAAACAAGTGGGCCAAGAAATATTGTCAGCTCTAACTCTGGCATTAAAATCGCCAAGGATAAACAATGGTTCTTTCTCAGGGATTTTCTTAATAGTGGCAGCCAGATCGTTGTAGAATTCATCTTTAGGTTCTACCGAAGATGATAATGGTGCATATGAGCTAATAAGAGTAACCAGCCCTGCTTATGAATGAAGCTGCAAGGACAGGATTCCTGCTGCAGGTGGAATAATGAATCCTGATAGGGTGTTCCTGACCGCAAAGCCAACCTCATATTCCCTAGCCTCATTTGATGGTTTTCCCTGTCAGAAGAACGAGAAACCAGCATGGAAGCACTGAATTTGGTACTCTCCCAATTGGGAAACTAAAGCAGAGATCAACTTTCTATCTCCATTCTGGGGTAATGCAAGAGTTGCTGTTGCTTTTTTCTTGTAATACCTGGGGGCTGTGGAGGTTTTCACTGAAACCTCGCAATCTGGGGTTTCTCCTAGACTCATGACTCCTGCTTCAACAGCAACTGGCAGCTGTGGCTAAAAGAGTCTTTGCACAACTTCATGTTCTGTGCCAGTTACACACACTTTCCTGGATCAGGAGTCTCAGGGCGCAATCACTCATGCCTTAGTCATATCACATTTGGACTACTTCAATATGCTCTATATTGGACTACTCTTCAGAAGCTACAGCTGGGATAGAATGCAGCAGTGTGGACAGTTCTAGGAGCTCCTAGGTTGGCCAGTGTAACACCACTATTGCAT